CGCATGTTAACCCGCGCACCGACGGGGGGGCGGATATCCGCCCCCCCTGAGGTTTTTCGCGAATAGCGGAAAAACCGCGGCGCGTAGCGCCGCGAAATTTGGTATGACTATTCCCTTATCAATTTTACACATGGTGTGCAAGTTTGAACCTCCTACCTTTCAAGGTCAGGTCACCAGGTCACTTTGAATGACCCAACCTCAAGTCACTTTTTTGCAACTTTGTCACCGTGCCAGAGCTACAGTAGATGTCGGAGGCCTTTGAAAGTCGCAGGATGTTATTAGGTCATTAGTAGCTACAATTTGTATATCTCGGAATTTTGATATCGGTGACCTAAGGTCAGGTCAATTTCGCGACCTCCCCATTATAAGTCAATGGGGGAAAAATCAACTCCCTGTTTTTACCACTAAAACGGGTCGGAATGGCCCCATATACCATACATGACTTCATATACGATCAACCTTCACTACCTTGAGGTCTGTTTTGCTGTTGGGCAGCTGTGAGGTCATGTGACGTCATCAAAGGTCACCAAAGGTTTTTGGCCAATAACTCCGTACAGGAACAAGATACAGACGCGTGGATGGTCTCATTGTGTTCAGCTCGTCAAGACGCATCGAATGATATACATGATGACCTCGAGGTCACGTGACCTGAGGTCAACCTTTGACCTTGACCTTTCGAGGTCAACATATATATCATTCGATGCGGATTGACGAGAGGATCACGATGATGCCCTTAGTTTGTTCCTATCTTGACTAATTCGAAAGTTATTCGAGAAAAACTCTCTCCATATTTAGCGCCGCCATTTTGACTTTTTCGACCCCTGTGACGTCATCTTTGACCTGACCTGAAAATGACCTTAGTAAAAATTGTAGATCTTGACCGTGCGTATCCGATGCCGTTTGCCGCTTGTCGCTATCTTGCTTCGTTCTCGAGATCTCAGGGGGGGCGGTCATCCGCCCCCCCCCCCCCCCCCGTCGGTACTAAGTTGGCGCAGACCCCCGTCGGTGCGCGGGTTAATGTATCACGACTATAGCAAGGTACGCAAAAATTATCTACCTTCTTTGATATTTACAATGTTTTGACGCCAAAATATTTTTTGAAAGCAGCAAATAAAAAACATGCAATCACCAGCCAGCCGTTGCCCAACTGAGCTTCGCAAATTTTTGTGCAGTTAACAAGGCAGGCTTCCGCTTTACGCTAAGAACATTAATTTCCAGGTTCGATTCTTTGTATCCCCGCTAGAGGGGGTGGGGCGTCTTTCCCACCCTGGGCATCTTACCCCACTCTCCCCTACTACATGGAGCCCAGTGGCTTTCACTTTATAATTAACAGTTCAAGCAAATTTACTGAATACTGTATTACGTTCTTACGAATTACGAATTACGAATGGACGAGCCATTCTACTTAACTTCACGAATATAATATTAATCATCTTGCAAAATTGACGGCCAATTTTTAAACAAAATACAAAAATGATCGTAAATAGCACCCGGCCATGGAGCACTAAAACTCTAGCAGTCCCTGTAGATGCAACAGGGCTGATGAAAAACGTGAATGAGACGGACACCTAAACAGTGAAAAACGGCATATATCACAGTATCAAAGCATTCCCCGAATTACGAATTAATCTAATTCACAGCTACTTTCAACAACAATGACATTTCGAGAAAAGGATCATATGAAAAAGCAGCGGAGTCTATATGAAATGAAAGCAAAATGTTATCGCCACTGTATTGATTACGAGGACGGATTTATTTATTGAATGCCTAAACAGATTCGCCATAGCCAGTCATACGATTATTAAACAATTTATCCATTTTCAACGAAAACGGTTCCAGACATAACATAAATGAGGGACCTTATCAAAGCAATATAAAGATGCAGGTCTATGTCTGAGAATGAAATTGAGCATCTTAACCCTCGCCCGTATAGGTGGTTTGCCAGCCGCGAACGGATAGGGGGGAGGTCCGTTGGACCCCCCTTGCCGTTTGGCCCCTGGTCGAGCTAGAGCTTCGCAGAAAAAGCGAGCGTGTAGCCCGTAACGAGAGGAGGCCGATGACATTCAATTTTAGGGTCCTAATTCGTTGGTTGACCTTCCAGGTCAGGTCAACGACCCAAAAGTCGGGGAAATCGGGACCTGTTAGAACGTCGTTAAAGTGACCATCCCACCTTAACATTAGTTTTGAGTTGAGATAGCCAAATTGGTGGCCATGGCCTGAAAATACCGGTTTGGGCACTCACAACATCGAAAAATGCTTTAATTCGGAGATATGGAATTACAAACTTGCAGTTTTCGCATTCTAAGGGGCTAATACATTGGAATGCCCCCTTAGAATTTGTGACGTCAGCGGAGATCTGACGATTTTTAAATCTTTTACTAAAACGTTTGGTAGCACGCGGTGGTATATGCTGCTTTGCGCGCAACAAATGCCGCACTTTCAAATAAAGTCGCTAGGAACAGCGGAGATCCCAAAAAGTAAACAAAAGTAAAAGTCTAATATCTTGAAAACCGGTGAATATTTTTCGATGAAATTTGGTAGATATTCGTTTTCGCTCTTTCTGAACCGAGCGACATATCACTTTCATGCCAATTCATTAACTTTTTGAAGGTGGGAGGGTCCCTTTAAGTGTGGCTGCTGTGAGGTTTTTCGGGGTGCTGATCACGAATATCATGTTAGTTTTGATCACAGGTGATACCTTCATGCACTTTGGCCGGGTCGGGTCAGCTCAGCTCAGGTCAGGTCATTTTTTGGGGGGTAGGTGCGCGACGATTGCGAGGTCATTTTGCGCCCCGGCCAGAATATTCAACCTGCGGAAGTAGCGTTCGAAGTAGGTGTCAACCGCCTCTGACAGCTTCGAACATGTTACGAAGGCACCTTACCTTCAGGTGACCTTGACACCCACCCAAATGCATGGCAGCAACATCATATCACATGTTTGAACGCTTGAAATCACTAAGACTGCAAATGCGCGGCTAATGCTAGTCGACATACGCCGAATCGCGATTCCGGCCAAACATGGTCGCGAGAAAATAAGTCAAAGGTCAAAGGTCATTTGGGTCAGGGCCATTACATTTGCAGAGTAGGTGTAAAATTGATTGACTCGAAGGTACTGAAAAATTCGTCGTGATGGGCCACTTTTTACGCGATTGCGAAAAACCGAGGAGGGTCCGTTCGACCCCCTATACGGGCGAGGGTTAAGCACACTTAATTCACTCGGTTATTTTTGCACTTCGACACAATCACGTTGACGAAAATCATTAGCCTAATTATTTTACTGCAAGTAATCACTTGGATTATACCATGCTTCTTTTTAACACATATGTTTTAGCAATATACTCGTATGTTTCTTGTTAACCAGCCACACCATTGTGTTACTCTCGACTCACGCTTAAATGAAATAGTTCACTTTCCTGAAATTAGTTTTTGCAGTGGATTTATGACTTTTTATGCTCAAAATGATCAGAAAAGAAAAGGAAACCTTTTTTTTTAAACTTTAAGCTCGTGTCTTGGCGACTGGACTTACTATGGTAGTGGATTCTGTACGTGTCAGTGACATGTGACATTATTCCTTTCAAACAGAAGCAAGCGATGGCTGCGTCGTCTCAGATATTGCCACCCGGATACACACACACCCCGTAAACAACACAAGGATAGTCCGTAAACATCACATGCTTCGGGGGAACAATACGTCGTCACCGCAATCTACCAGACATCGTGAGTGCCGGCCGACCGCAAACGAGTACGCAAAGAAAGCTCATCACTCAAGGCTTCTTATCTCCGGAAAACTGGCGTGAGTGGCCTTGAGCGAATTAGGACTCTAATGTTTTGTAAGTAATAACACGTTGTTGAATAAATTCCGCGACATCAACAGGCAATGAGACGAGCGGGTCTTGCAGGAAAGAGGGGTCGCCTGGGAACAGTTTTCGATGGTGGTCGTACGTCATAGTCGCCTTTCGGTGGTAAATCCACGGAAAAATGTGATGCATATTAACTGCATATTTGTCTAGGGAAGTGTCAAGAAATTTATGGCGGCAAGAGTAACTTAAAGGTACCAATGAGTTACGATTCTTTCTTTGTTCGCCAGGAGAGAGAAAACAGTCCGGATTGGGAAATAAAGATGTTCTCCTTCACCGTGGAACACAGAGATAAATGACTGACGTACAAACAGTTTCGGAAACCAGAAAACACGAAGCTAATGGCCCGAACAAAATGAAAAAACGCTTTCGTTCCCCACCTATATAATGCACTTCAATTACACTTTTTAATTATTCGTGTAATGGACCATGAAATACGTGTAATTCACAAGCCTCCTACATTCCTTGGCGACCATAGGGAAACTTCAATATAAGCAGCTCAAACACAGTAATTTCCTTGTGAACATGGAACAATGTTTTAAAAAGTGAGAGCCTAATTGTTCCATTTAACAACTAATTTTACTGCGGCCAGCAATGATGATATCTTTAACAAGGTCGAAGACGGCTAAAATGTCATTTCAGATCAATAATAGCATACGATGCATGCATGTACCTACCCTTAGAATAACTGTTTCGGAAGAAAGCGACTAATAAGTTAATCAGATGACGTTCAGAAAGATGGTACACAATTTCGACATAGGTATATGTAGAAAGATGGTATATAATTTCAATCTATCTCCTCTAGTCATTAAACTCTCTCCTTCGAAAAAACAGCCCTGAGAAATGGAATCTCAAAATGTAATAATACCGATACTACCCATATCACTAGCCTGTGCTGAGCCATTTTTCAGCTGACTATATCATCTAAACGAGCCACCAAACGAAGAAATTACCCCATACTCAACTGTGCGAGCAGAACAATTACCGTATTCTCTAGTATAAACTCAGCACACCTACAGAAGCCTGTCAACATCATACCATTTTTTCTAGGAAGGAACGTCCCATAGGAAAAGCGACGCAAGTATCGCCAAGAACCAAGCACCCCCTACCTACCAAATACGAGCCGCCAAGTACGCCACCTACCCGTATCGGTCGTCCGGATGGATGCTGGGCGGCACGTAGTAGCCCACCTCAAAGGCCCGTCGCGGCTCAGCCATGCCCATTGAGCGCTGGTCGAGAGGCAGGCACCGACGTCACAGCCGACCGACGAAGCCGGTGAAGAGAGTCCTGGATGTTCAGAAGATGGGCACAGAGAAGGTCCAGCCGGGTGGAGATGATATCACAGATTGACCACAATAGAAGATGAAGAGAACGAGATGTTGAAGAGGGTGGCTCTCACTTGAAGCGCACTGATGTTCGATATGGCGAGGAGTCGGCGCTGACGACAAACACCGCGCTCGGCTGAAGTCCGTTGGTGCAGCGGTGCAGCTCTCCCGGGTGGGCGGCCGTCGCCAGTCAGTCAGCGGCACGAGGTGTCTCGGTGCCGCCGTGTGCGCGCCGCTCCGACCGACGCCTCCGATGGTCGGTCCGTCATTAGAGTGTCGGCGGCGACCACGGGCAGCAGCCGGCCGGCCACCGGCGCCGCCGCCCGCGGCCGGGACTGCCCAATTTCCAGGACCGGCGCTCATGTCCGGCACGAGGGTGGCCACTCGGCCCGCCGGCACCCACGCAGGAGGAGGCTCTGCGCCGGCGCGCCGCCGCGCCGCGCCGGCCGGCCGGCAGCGGGTGCGGCGGCACAGCCTAGCCGCCCGGCGGACCCCGGCAGGGAATTTCCGAGCCGCCCGCCCGGTTCGAGGAAGTTGCAGCCCACGGCGCGACCGCTGTCCGCGACCAGTTAGCCCGCCGGCGAGACACGACGTTTGGTCGCACATAGCTACTTCTATCGGTTTGGCAACGCGCTGGTCATTGCCTCAAAGCGGTAATACCGGCCGGATTAAACGGCCCGTCGTGCGTTCGTGCGGGGTTCCCATGATAATTGGACAATTTGTGGTCCACGGAATGGGCAAATTCGGATCCCGAAAAGCCCTGTCAAGTGAGGTCGCTTTGGTAGCGCTAAATACAGAAGGAAGGCCAGTTGGCCGTGACCTGTACCAAATCAATTCGAAAGCAACTGGCGAAAACGTACAATTACAAGACTAGCAGAGTCCAAAACACCCCATTTTAAGGCGCATTTATTAGCAGCTTTGAAATCTTACTTAGAAAATGTTAGATACAGCATGAGTACGAACAAAGATATTAAAATCATTTTTAGTTCGGTCTTCGGTGACCTAACTAGTGACAGTAAGCAGTAACAACCATCCAGAAATACATACCTAGTTACTTGTAAACACCTAGATTCCAGGAGGAATGTCTCGAGTTGCATTTTTAAGAGGCTAATGTAGATCGCAAGGAAAAAACAACCAAAAAATGTCATGCAACAATTACGGACTCCAAATAAGCGCGTAGGTGACTCGCATGTAATGGAATGAGAACACAAAAGCATATCCCACGAAAGAAAAATGGTCTGCATTCCTCGTTGTCTGTGAGACAGGAATGTCGGCGCCTCACGTCTGAGCTGTTCTCTGAGCTCAGATTATCCCAGACAGCATGCATGAACCACCGCGCATGCTAAATAGCTTACCGAGATAAGATGAGAGATCACATGAACCAAGCGATGTTCAGTTCTTACTAGAGATGTCAATCGGATACCAACTTTTTGGTATACCGATACCAAACCGATACCAACTTGGTATTTGGTATTTCAATCCTAATGTGTTTGGTATTTTGTTGGTATTATGAACCCTTACTAAGGTATAAGAAGCTAAGAAATTGGTAAAAAGTTGGTATTTCCCTCATCTTTCAAAGTTGGTTCGGTTTCGGTATTTCCCCACGGTTTTGGTCGGTATTTGGTTTGGTATCGGTATTCCGATTTTCTGTAATTGACATCACTAGTTCTTACACTTTCAGACGGGGATGGTCAGTGAGAGAGAAACTAGGAACAGTTCAACAGCGAACCAGTGGATCGCTGAACTTTGGCCAATAAGACGTTTGCTTGGTATAAGGACGACTTCGAGACAGCAAACAATATTTCTGAAGAAAAAAAACTTAATTAAAGTAAAAACGAATAGTTGGGACAAATGCCCTTGCCAAACCATGGGACTGCAATAACATGGATTAGTGATCGGTAAATTGAATGCATAATTACATACGCATAGCAAATGAACCTCCCGTACCGAGATGAGTTTGGACCACAGTTACTGATGGGTCCCGATACTGGGTTCATCAGGTCCGAGCAGGACCATCTCATCCTAAGCTACACCAGGCATAATCAGACCGGTTCTGGAGCCTGTGTGCGTAAAAAGGTACAAAAAATCACAGCGCTGAGAGACCTATGACAAGTAATGAGTTTGATTTCACGACTATTCTAGCTAGCCAGCTCGGCATGTTGACCGCAAGGTGATTGTGCAATGAGCACCCATAAGTCTGGCACGGTTACTTCATGTCAATGACAAACTTATATAACTGTTGAGAACGATTTTGATGCCTAAGACACTACTGTAAGGATCATGGTGATTTTAGTACTATTAAGCATTAAAAAATGTAAGCGATTTTCATAAAAGTAAGCGGAGGCGAAAAACAAGAAATGAGGAATTACTGCGGCAACTTTCGGTAAACGATTCTGGAAAGGTTTAATGAGTTCATTGGGATAGTCGCAGATTTAGGCCGGTTAAAACCGATATAAATTAATAAAAGTCAGAACATAACCAACATCAATAACAAACAAGCTCACGAGCTAAGAAAATGCCCGCCAAGCACAATAGCTTTTCACTTCAAACAGATCCATCTCAATTAGAGATAATCAGCAGCTAGAAACCAAATGTTCATTGATAGTGCTGATAGATGATTGGTGTACTGTTTAGGCATGTGTAGGTGCCAATGTGAATGTTGTTTGAGTAGGTAGGCACTGATTGTCCCAGCGTCCTATTTTCCTTTAAACTGCCAAGTCCTCTACCTTAAATATTGGCTGAAAAAAAATCCCACCCAATTTGATGCACCTCAAGAAAGGTTGACGACCCCGGTCCCTGACCTATGAAAATCCCACCCAATTTGTATTACAATCTCGAGAACGCCGTCGGGGCGGCACCAAACCCTCCCCCTCTACGGGTAGGTAAGGAATAAAACTATTGTGGATCTAAGCAGTATCATGACAATTGCATAAGCTGTTTTAAAAATTGTATGGCTATGCAGTCATCGTACTAACTATTTATCATTGTCACGATATTTTCCCCATGCTACAATAAAACAAAATTTTCTAACAGATTTATTTATCTCTTAATGAATTTTTCATGAAACAAGTTAACAAGATGTAGTTTTCATGATAAAAATTAGCATCGTGTGGCCACATTACAATCACTTCACGACAAACAAACCCCAATTAAGTGGATTTTATTATCCTGAGGTTAGGTGGTTTAAACCAGTGTGACATAAACTAGTTCATGCCAGCCAGGTTAAACCATAGTTTGAACTAGTGATGTCAATTACAGAAAATCGGAATACCGATCCCAAACCAAATACCAACCAAAACCATCAGGAAACACCGAAACCGAACCAACTTGAGAACATGAGGAAAATACCAACTTTTTACCGATTTTTCAACCTTGTATACATCAGCAAGGGTTCATCATACCAACAAAATACCAAAAACAATCGGATTGAAATACCAAACACCAACTTGGTATCGGTTTGGTATCGGTATACCAAAAAGTTGGTATCCGATTGACATCACTAGTTTAAACCGGTTTGCAGTCCCTGACTGAAATCGACCAACCCTGGATAATCGGTTTGAATTTTCAGAGCACTCCGGCTGCATCGAACAGCGACTTTTTACTTCGTTTTATCTTGCTTGTAATCAATCCTATAGATCCACCCTGCTCCACCTTGAAGCTCCATCTTGGATCCCAGTCTTTTTTATCATTTCATTGCTTAAACGTTCGCCACCTTTTCCGCAATTCATCCATTGGCTCGAGCCTCGATGAAGAAATTCTAAACCACGAACCAAACCTCAGACCATAGAATGAGTGTCAACACGCAACTTCGGCAAAATGGCCGATGAATAAGTAGCAGTTATAACGCATGTTGGGAGGGGTGGTTTGCCTGCGTACCTTCCAACCGCCGCAGCGCCACAACATTCTTAAAAGAACGGCCAGTAAAGAAATGGCCAGAAAATTGGTGTGGTCAACAATGCTCAGAGTGCGCAGCATTCCAAGCATGTCAGCAGATAAGCTCGATCCAAGCTCACGAATGTCGAACTCGTGGTGAAAGGGCTCTGAAAGGACGTTACGACGCTTAATTTATTGCTGCCAATTATCCCAGTCACTGTATGAATAATCTACATACGCAACGAGACTTATCGAAACCGCAGTCTTGGAAAAATCACTATGCAAAGCATTCATGACGCCATGGAAAAGCTCCGAGAGCATGTCAGGTCCTTGAGCACTAAAAATAGCCGACTGCGCGTATAGAAAATCCCAAGACTACTTATTGGGAAGGTGGATTAGCATGTCGACCACCACCCACGCGATTCGGAGTTATAAGTCAGCGAGTGGGTGGCTCCAATGCTATCTGAATCAGGGATAAGCAGAGGAGCTGGCTAAGCCCCCTCTCGTGTCTGTCACCCCGGGCCGTTAGAAAACTCGCCTGATGGCGGAATTGCCCCGTGAGTAACGGGCAGGTGTCGAGCGGTCCGGACTGAGACCGGTAAACAACACACAGTGTACACACCCGTCACCGTTAAGCAGCATAGATAAAGTGGCAATTGATGATGTTGATCAAAACGTTGTCAATGTTTCCAGCAACGGAAATAGTCATCTCTTCAGTAACAGGATGTCTTTTTACACAAAATTAGCTTGGTATCACATCCGTTAACTCATTTTGCAGCATTCCGGATTCGCATTATCTGTTCGAGCCAGCCTAGACATAGTCAGCAGCATCAGATACCGCACGGCTCTAAACTTTGCACCATGACTTCAAACCCAAAAACCGCTACTACCAAGAGACATGCTTACTCATTCGCGACACATGGGAAAGTCGACATGCGGGAGGGAAGTGACATCTATGCCATCATAACCGACGGCCGGAACAGACGGAAGTCAATCTGTGACCCGTGAGTAACCGCCAGGTGTTGAGACCGCGCCCCTTCACCGTACAGCCGGCCCACACGTGTGCGATGAGCTGCGGACCGCTACGACAGGGAAACGCTACAGACCATGTCGCAGAATCGTCCTCATTCCCCGGAGCGGGATAGCGTCGAAATGCCTCACAGACGAGGAAATTTATTTGCGTCACCGTGCAGATTTAGATCACAAATTACCTGATGTGACTAAACGCCAACCAGGAAGTGGCAGAAATCATGCCTGAAGTGTCACAGCATGCCGAAGAGAGAAACAATGGTAGCGCATTCCGCGCTCAAAACGATTCAGTCAGTCTTGAATTAAGTGTTCTGTATTTTTCTATTCACCGAATAACTATATTGAAATAATAACAAAAAATCACTTAGCCATCACCAGAAAGCCACGACGCACGAGTCAACAAAGCATGAATGACAAAATTTAGCATGCATAAATTTTCTGTCGACAACAAAGTATGTCGGGATTTCAGCGCGACGGATGAAACGCCAGCAGGAAGCCCCTAGGCCGTACAGCCTCTCTTGAAAGTACCACGCATCGGTGCGCCGCATCCATTAAGCCCAACCAAAGGAAGGCTGCTAAAATAGAGTCACTGAACCAATACACCCCAATTAAGTCCCCGGGTCAATTGGTTCGGTGACTTAATTTTAGCAGCCTTCTTTCGGTTGGGCTTGATGGATCCAATGCACCGATGCGTGGTACTTTTGAAGAGAGGCTGTACAACCTCGGTACGTCGTAACGGTTGTAAGGACACTCCTACTCAGAAACGACGTCTGCCCTGCCCGCAGCGGCTTGTCCTGGCAATGTCCGTGCACTGTTCGGCCATCATAAACTGCACGCCGTGACATACCCCCCCCCCTGACTACCAGTGCCACAATAACTTATCCATGGACCGCCCCTCCCCCGCCGGCCAGTACGCTGAATCCAGCCACACTACCAACAACCTAATCGAAAACAAACTTTCCGTTTCGCATGTATCACCAAAACGACCCACGCGACGCTCTTTTCGAATGATCGCCCGCCCACAACAAGCTTCATTGGACGATAGAGTGGCATCAGACGAATATGTTTTCTCAGTACCTACCAGCCAGCGGCATCAGAAGAACTGGGCGGCGGCGAATTGACCGAGGCCCGATCCCGGGAAAAGATGCCCTAATCCTTTTCAGCACTATCATTGCCAGCAAGTCCGCTAGCTTACGCCAGACGAGAGCTAAAATAAACGCTCGGACTGGACTAGTGCAGCCGGCTGCTGAAGAGATCTCGGAAAACCCGGGGCGGTTGCAACGGGACCGCCACGCGCCCGCCACGTGCGGCCCACCCCGCCCTGTCGGGACGAAACCACGGCCCTCTGCCCAGCACCACGCCCAGAGCTGCCCTGTTTGTAGCACCATGAGAATCTCTGACCGACGAGAGCTGACACGCGATGAAGCCAGTGACCCTGGGGAGTCCTGCAATGCACGGCAAATCGCGCAGACTGTCGCGGAACGTCGCGTGTCAGCGGATACGATGGCGACGGCGGCCGACAGCTCAGCCGGTCGGCCGGTCGGTCACGCGACTCGAGTGACAGCCGTTTTTCCCTCCCCACAGCTCCCCACGACCGCACCTGCAGTGTGACGTCACGCCCCAGCCCATGGTGACGTCATCCGCCGTCTATGACGTCACTCTTGGCGCCGGGGCGATCACCGATAGGTCGGCGCGGATCCGCCTCCGTAGGATTAGCGCCACCAAACCAACGCTCTCCACCGCACCACACCGATCAGAAAGGATTCGGTGGGTTCAGACATCGCTGCCCAATAACTGTCCTTGCATGTGGACCGCCCCTTAAGCCGGAACCCCTAAACAGACGATGGTGAGGATCTGCGGTTAATTGGCAGTCTGCAGTCCGGTGCCGATCTGATTTCTAACGCTACGTCCGTGAAATGATGCACTGCCCCACTGTGCCGTGATCGTTCACTCTTTTTTCGAGATTCGTGACGTGAGAGAAGCATTCTTTAGCCGCAGTTATCGAGATGGAACGATGTATACCAGACGAAGGGCAATCACCGGGTGCTTGATCCGGCTTCATGGCCTGCAGCGCCATTACGTCAGGAATGTTACGTCAACGGTTCGGTCATTTGGCGCTCATCTGGAGCGCGCGCGGCGGCCGGCGGGGCTCCGTAATAGCTCCATCGTTATCTGCTGTCCGCCGGCGCACGGTGTGAACCCGGCTCCAAACCCGGCACCAAAGCCGGCACCTTTCGGCGCTCAATTAGCTGACGCGAGCGGGCGAGCCGGACGCGCAGTGTCCCGGCCACGCCCGGGACTGTCCCTCCCCGCCCCGCCAGCGCCCACCACGCCCATCGCATCCTTCCTGCTGCACCCACCCACCGGCCAGCCTGAACCGGACCCGCAGCAGGACAGCGAGATCAACTGGGCCAGGGCAGCCGGCAGGGTCGTGATCAGGATCCAGGACAGGGCAACATCGGAAACAGGGCGGGACCAAACAACGGCAGTGATTGGAGTGATACTAAGACCAGCAGCAGCATCCGAGTTCGATCTGAATCTGGTAGGTGTGAGCTATAACAGGGGAAAGGTCAAGGATCAGGCCAGGACAAGGAACAGGCTATGAACCGGGAGAGAATCAGGTCCACGACTATGGCTAAAGATGCATATATTGGACGTCATTAGGACGGGACATTCCGGTAAATCAGCAGACCAATCGAAGTCATGTGTAATGAGCACTTTGGCGCAAAAAGAAAACAGTGGCATTTGAAAACTTGGTGATGTGGGGTGATTTGTTATGTCAAATAAGCAAGGCTAATTAGGAATTAGGATGCCAGTCGCAAAAAATAGGTATGTGATAATAATGGCATAATAACCCACAAACGAGGTCAAGCGTCATTGCATGAGAAAACCCCGGGATCTATAGATACCAGTGCATATTTCTGATGATCCGGCAGTGATTCAAGAGCATGGAGTCCGAAGAATCACCGCCGATAAAAGTGAATTTCTGTTAAGTGTTGTATCGGGCTGTATCCGGTGACCGGGTGACCACTTATCCCGGGCTGTCAATAATCCCAGTGCCGGACATAGTCCAGTCAACACGGCTCCGTCAGTTGCACCTCCCTCCCCCTCCCCTACCCTCCCCCAACTGCCGGAGCGATACTCAGCAGCTCTATTCACACTCACTCACTGGGTCTAATCAGGGGCACAGCACTACGCTAGCAATTCACAATATCAGAGTACGATAGACCTTACGATGGTGTATAACAGGAAAAAGCAAACGCACTTCCACTACAACAGGATTTACAGGATTTAAAACTATTTGTATCGCCCCTCACCTAGCTAATTATTTCATTGCAAGCCTTATCTCGAGAAAAAGACCATTTCCAGAAAGAAAGGAAACGGTAGAGTGAAAAGATGGGCAGAAGAGGGGGAGGGGGAGGAGGAGGGAAGCAGGACGGGAGCTAGCACTATCCAGCGGCCAGGCCAGCGCCGTATGACAACAGATATCGCGTGTCGCATGACGTGCAGAGCCACCGAAAACTCGGCTGCCAGGAACCGAGCGAGCACGAATTCGGCTACCGAGAAACCAGCGAGCATGGAGGCTCGGTGCTGGAACTGCAGCGTTAGTAACGCCGACGACCATCTTTGGCGAATGGAAAGACGAAAGAACCACGATGATGCCCTCGCAACTTGGAAGTGGTTATCATTGTTGTAGGTACCTACTGTTGAGTTTAAAGATGTGGAAGAGAAAAATTGGTGCATGAGCAATAACAGTAGCTAGAAGCTACGGTGAAATGTGGCGTGATATGCGAACAGAAAAACAAAGAATAAGGATTGCTGCCCAGGTAGCGATTGGTATCTGGACGCCATATCGGGACGATAGCTAATAGGTATCGCTCCAATGCATGGATAATCGGTCACGAGGAAATCGATCATTCAGGTTAAAATAGTGAATAGAGAATTGGCTATTTAACAGACCATGCTGGATGGATCATGTCACTGAGTCGAACATTTGATAGACTATTTTGGGACCGATCTTTTAAGAAAATACTTGTAAACCAAAGATTCTGGTTGCTCGCGTTGTGGGTCCCTTGGGTCACGGAACAGATACCACTGTTGCTCCCATTTTGTTAAAAAGGCTGAAATCAGCGTAGCTCATCGCATAAGGCTACTTCACAGCCTAGGTGTGGGGCTGATTCTTGGAAAATATTGAGCGCGACGGCATCCACTGACAATGGATAGTTCCATTGGGACCTTGTAGGTAGCGCCACCAGTTGAGAGTACCGGCCGTCTCCGAGCTCTCCGTAACAAAACGCCACAGATGGCGCTAGCTATCACAGGTGGCACCACTACCCCAGAGAAGCGGACCCAGTCCCAAAGGCCACAAGCTTACCAAAGCCAATACGGATCACGTAAATAAAATCAGAATCGCTCAGCAATGTGAAAAAAATAGCCACACCAGCAGCATGTACGGCGAACCACACACACAAGTCGCAAACCGAACTAATAGGCGCGGTCGGAGCGGGCTGAGCTAGAGGACGGAGGTGTGATTCCAGGACGTCGCGCGGAGCGGTTGCGCGGTGCGGTACTCACTAGTCCACCTGCGACTTGAAGCTGCTGATGGGCACACAGACGTGCATCACGCCAGCCGGGTCGGTCACCAGGTGTCGCGGCACGGGCCCCGGGAACGCCGGCTCCACCGTGTAGCCCTCGTGGCGCACGTGCACCGCCACCAGCGCGTCGTCTGTGGGCGGAGGGGGCACGTGTGGTCAGTGAACAGCGCGAGTACCTACCTACATAGGGAACGGAGCGGAAGGTACACAATGAACAAAAACAGTGCACTATGAGTACAAGTTTTAGTGAGCAGAATAGAATAAAACAAACAACCAAGAGAAACCGTTCGTGAGCAGACCAACCGGTGATGAGCAATTACAGGGAGCACATGCGCATGAAAATGAAATAATTTGGACGACTTTTAGCAAAAAGACAGTAAACAAAGAGAGTTGGTGAATAAAATAAGAACATATGAAAAGTATCTTCATCAGCACAGCATTCAGCATTGTCACTTTCACTTCATCGAGCCATGCTATGCTACAATTTCAAGCAGACATGTATACGATCTCAATTGCTTATCAATGACCATTTTCCCCGCGGCTATGGCTGATAGTAAGTTGATAGAACACATTGGCAGGATAGCTGATAGAATCGTCACTCGATTACAATAACAAGCATTGTTCGGTCTCCCATCCCCGGCGCCGCGTGAAATTCCAGCCGCCCCTAGTCAGTCGGCCCGGATCACAACAGGCTGACCATAAACCAGCGGCCGGCGGCGCGGCGTCCGGTGTCAAAGAGACGGTCGGAGCGGGGCAGGGGGAGGGGGCTACTACTGTCCAGCTCACTCCCGGCTCAGACTGCAGCTGCAGACACACGAGACACGCTCCCCGTGCGGCGTCTCGGCCCGGCTACGTGTCACAGTGGAGAGCGCAGTGAATCAGGCGGCCGGACAGCGCACGTAAAGCTGAGCTGATACGCATACGAGCTAATCTGCGCAGATGTGGTCTCAATGATCAATGATCATGTAAGGGAAGTAGCAATATATGAGGCTGGAAGATCGTTATACAGCAAAGGAAACAGTTTACTGATGCCATGTAAATTTAAGTGGAGCCTTTTTGAAGCAAGATGAGAGCATCTGTGGGGTGTATGGAGCTTATTTGAGAAAGAAGGATATTGTAATGCGCAATGCGCATCTATTCCAAGATGACTTAGGTCATGTCCCAGCGACATGAGTCGACTTCCAGTCCTTCTCAGTACTTCTCGACTGCCAGTTGACAGGCCGGCCAGCCCGCCCCAAATGGCCCTAAATCGGACCGACTTCCGTCGCGCCCCGCCCCAATGTCACACCATCAGCTTTGTTTACCCGCCCCACGTCTACCCTCGGCGCGGCGCGGCCCCAATATCGCACCCGTGAGGCCGGCAGTATTTTAACCTCCCCTCCCCCACGACCCTCGTCCCGACCCAAACGCCATTAGCGCGGCGTCCAGCTGACTGCGCCCACCTCCCTACCCATCCCCCATCCCGCCTGGTAGGACCTACCCTCCCCCGCTCCTCCCCCATCCAGGCGTCCTACCCTACCGGGGCCGCCAACCTCCTCAGCAATACCACCTTCTCCAGTCAACAGCTCGGCCTCCATCCCAAAGGACAACAAAGGCCCACTCATGTCAGCTGACAAACAGGGACAAGTGGCCATCAATGAGCTACAAAATCACGAGCAGATGGACCACGTGCGCACCTCGCTGTCGCCCGGAGCCAGACGCACTGATTTCAGGCTCAGTAGCGACTCGCCTCGGAGACCAGCGACGATCGACGGCCCAGCGTCGCTCAGCGCTCGATGGGACCGACGGGACAGCCATGAGCTCGTGTTGTGTAAACTAGGCCTGTGCTCTGCTGTGGACCATGTGGGCGACACACGGAGGTAATTTCCGGGTCCCCCGGCGGCGCGGGGGCGGGGATGGGGGCGGGGTCGCAGACGGCGGGGCGGCGGTCCCAGAGCCGGACGCGGCTGAGATGCATGGCGTTAGGTCAGCGGCCAGCTACACATGTGGTGTCATCATGATTTCCCGGATATTAGCGATGAGCGCATTAAAAACAGCTGCTGGGTGCGGGGTGGATTGAGCAGTATGCACTGTGCTATGTGCATTGTGCAATGTGCATGGCACGTGTTCGGTTTCACATTACAGCAGCTGTTGCTAGAGTTTGAGACCATTTCACGACTGTATGTAGAGGATAAGGGAGAGACACTGTAGGTACCCCCATTTCAAGTTTCAAATCGCTTTATACCGGCAACTCCCCAACCATTTACCACGGTGACTATAAATACCATTTACAATGTTTTATCCGCTCTACTATGACGTCATCCATGCTCCATCGCCTTCCTATCACTATGAAACAGCTGCACGTGTTGCGTGGCTGTTTCACCATCCTTGGCAATTTCTGACCGCCATGCGTATCCGAGGCGAGCACGCACATGACTGCCCGTCAAACGGCGCCACATATCCGCCACCGTCACCGCCACCAGCCGGGCTGTTCCTAACTCGCAGGAATGAGATGAGGGGCTCCTCCCCTCACGTCCAAAAAACAGCCCAGTGCGGGCAGAGCGCGTGTATCATTTGAACAGGTGTGGGGTGTGGATGGGTAAACGGACAGGCGTCGTCGCCAGAATAATGGCGAGCACATTAGCAGAGACATTAGCATTAGCGACCACATTACATTAGAGTGGGGCGCTAACGGATAGCAATTGCATGAAAAAAAAAAAAATACGGCGAGACCATAACTAAACACATTCTAGGTTACTCTTTACAGGGAAACGTTATTTTCACGCAAAAAAAGGAAAGAAAAGGTACTATCATGTGCGACCAGAAAAAAGAGCCATTAACTTCCCCTGTTGGGTGCATCTGAAGCACAAACTTCCCACCCGCCTGCCCTCTGAGGGAGACCATCCTAAAATCCCCAAAGGAGCGAGTCTCCCCCTCCACCTCAGTCCCCAGGAAGGAGAGATCATCACGTAAATCGCATATCTGTCCGAGTGTTATATTTTAGAGTCGGGAGCAGTCATTGGTCTGGGTGTCACCGGGAACGACAGAGCTGAGCCAAACTGCCACGGGAAGAGGGGAAGGAGAGGGGAGATGCCGAACAGCGCCCATGAAACAGCACGAGAGACTACATAGTGACGACAGAGCTCTGTGAACGGCACGGCAACAATCCGACCCCGGTGTGAGCTGGGAACGGTCGTGCTGAGTTTTGGTCGAAGCAGCCACAGGGGAGGACGTCCGGATTGATATTGAAAGCGGCTCTTAAATACGTCAGATGTGTGGCCTTCTGAAGGAGTAACTGAGGTAGGTAGCGAGGAGAACCGAACTATACGAAATTTCGGGTGTTCGTATCAGAGAACGGCTGAAAGCTGTACGTCATTATTTCGATAGCAAATTGCAATAGCGTCCACTGATGACAAGACTGAACCATCCACACTTTTAACCATTTCAGGATTGTATGGAGACATGATAATGGGGGATATTTGGCCGATCCGACCGCCAGTTGGTGCACCGCAGAAAGACAAAGACATCCTAACTATGTGGTGCCAATCGGAACTTAGACCTCCGGAATTTCGACTTTGGCCAATATCCAATTCGAAATTTGGTTTATACAAAGGCAGCAGGCTTTGGGTAACAATGGACGGTCATTTGTCAAAAGAGAATTAAGCGAATTAAGGTCAAAAGCGAATTAAGTAACAGTGTGGAGTGTAAATTAATGCGAAGTTTTCGGACATCTTTTAAAATGTCTGGCTTCGATATTGTTGGAAGAAAATTCCGGGCATTGGACGGACATTGGACACACATTTCCTAAAACTGGCACCACTACCCTAAACCCCGAATTCAGTCTAACACTGTCCAGTGTCCAGCCAACCACCACCCAATCACCTTAAAACCGTATGTGCTCAAAAGTCAAAGCTTCACATTTCAACTATTACACCGTTCTCACGCCTCAACAAATGAACTACTAGCCGTACAAAGAGTCAGCGACTCAGCCTACACTACCCGACTCTCACGGTCCTTATCCACTGAGCATATCGAAACCCATTGAATCATACTGGCAACCTGATCTCACTATGTAACTAAGGCGATCCAAACGGTCTGATTCGACCCGTGAAACAGGGCACACCACCCGACCTCTGAGGGAGCGACGAGACGCCGCCCTCACCAAAAGGTCGACACCCTGAACCCACCCCCTAAATCTTCCACGGCGTGCTACCAGCGCGGCGCGGTGATTTAGCGTGCTACGGCCAGCGCCCATGCGTCTCTCGTCAGAGTAGGGGGACGCCATCCCTTCCCTTCATGCACCTAGGGCTATTCGATGAGGCCGCAAAGCGAGATGAGGTGAGGAATTGGAGGCTCCGTGTAGAGCGACATATAAAAACATCGCTAGCAAGGTGATTTGAGTGACCTGCAGTCAATGGCAATGGAGTCAGCGGCAAATATTAATAGTTTAAATGTTTTATTTTCGCACTTATGTCACGACCTTGCACTCTTTTTAGAATTGCGTATTCTGAACGATTGGACCCCACGCATGACTTCATGCGTAAGTCCAAGCCTTTGAAGGGCGATCTAAGATTCCGAGCAGACGGCTGACATCCATATATGACAACATTGCAAAACACGGTCATTGACCCAACATCTCCCTGTTTCAAAGTATGCTATAATTTCCAGCAAATCTTACCCCAATAATCACGAGTTCTTGCCATCATGACTAGGAAAACACCAACCGGCACGCACAGCCGTGCCGTGGCTCATCTGACCCGACCCTGCCCCGTCACGCCGCCGCCGTTGACCGTGGCCATTTCTGGCGCGGCCGACACGGCACCGGCGCCAGCTCGGTGCTGACACAGCACGGGTGTCGGGTGACACCACGACACACTGCCGGAGGGGGACAGCGCGTGCTGACCCCCCCCCCCCCCGGTCGCTCGGAGGGAGGAGTGGGGATGGAGGGAATGGAGAGGGGCGGGGCCCAGTGTCGTGAAGTTTACGGCCAATGTGCCGTTTATGTTGAAAAATGAATAGGTACTTACGCCCATACGACGTTGCATGTCAATTTAAAAAGAAAATATACATGTCTCAGCTAACACAAATGTTTTATAAAATCACAGGTCAGTCAAACACTTGCCTTATGAGGGTCATAGCTCCAAAACCCATTGCCCACGTAATAAATTTCGGATAACAATTGAATATGATTTAACATTAGGTGAACTGGATCTTTTTTGTCACCGGTTGTAAGTACAATATCAAAACAAGAAAGCAAACCCAGGAACAGTAAATAAACAAGGACCGAATCACCATATTATTGCTTGAGGACAACACAGACGCTCACTAGGTCATCGGCACTATTGCGGCCGGCTGGCGCGCCGCCAGTGCGCCGATATCTCGCCGCCAGTGCGCAGGAAGTGAATCTGACCCGCCTGTGAACGACGGGACTCGTCGGGGACTCCCTGACGCGCACTGTCGCCGACTTGGTCCTGACGACAGCGCTGCAGCGCTATCCAACGACCAATCGATGTACTGAGACTGCTCTGACTGTCTGCAGCCGAGAGCAATGCGGGAGACGGGGCGCCGAACACGCTGTTTGACGAGTGATGTCATGGATAAGCAACGTGTATGAAGTTGGGCAGAGCCAGCGCTATAAAACAAGCTCCATATTTACCTCATTGCGTCATGATGGCCAAGTCATATTAGCCGTTTTCACAGGACATTTGGTTCGCATTTGGTGGAGATAATGTGCAGATTTGTTTCAGATTTGGTGAAATTAGGCTTTGTGTTTCTTAGAAGCAGTCAGCTAGGGTTCTACTAACTGCTTGTATACTTGCCTAGTCATGTCATCACACATTATCATCGATTGAAACACTGAAATAAACTCATTATATGAAGGTATTTGTTATAATAGAGATAAGGAGCAGATTTGGTGAGAATTTCGTGCATTCGCCAGATAGCGCGTCGTGAAAACCAGGGCTGCGGAGTCGGAGTCGGAGTCGGAGTCGGAGTCGGAGTCGGTCGGAGTCAACAGTTCTGCCCGGAGTCGGAGTCGGAGTCGCCAAAATCTTACTGAGTTAACGCTGCATGGCTCAACGTCATGCACCGCACCCGTCTGATTGACGATACCATGCGCTCGAACTTAGATTTTGTCGAGAAAAAATGCAACGCAAAGCCTTGGAACGCACAAGGGATCATTTCAGGCAAGATAAAAACATCTCCATTATGAAATTCAATGTCATGATATGGATTTTAACCCGCGCCCCACTGGGATCTGCGTATAACGCGCACTACTGGGGGGAGGGCTCTTCATAGCCCCCCTGGCCCCTCCTAACTCCGAAACTACTCAGCCGATCGTCAAAATTCGAAAAAAAAACACTTTCGATTAGGGGGGGGGGGCACTGCCGACTTTTGGTCCCATTCTTTCCATGCAACGCCCATAGGGCTAATGTTAAAATGCCAAAATCAAAGGGAGGCACGGTGCCCCCCGCGTTCCGCCGCCAATGTCACCGATGACGTCAGAGGTCAGGTCTAAGTAAAAATTATTAGCATTTTGGCTTGTTCACATTTTGGGCTCTGGTCGCCATCTTACAAATCAGATCAGGCTCATTTTTTGTTTACACACTCGTGAACACACTCGTGAGCTTCAGATACCCTGAGGGTGCCGAACTTGTACTTTGATTTTCAGGTCAGGGTCAGGTCATCACAGGTCACGGAAATATTATATCATGCGTCGGTCACGTGACACGTTTTATGGTCCATTTAGGCCATAGATTTCGAATTTGATGTCGTTTGTGTCATTAGAGATCATTTTGAGTTGAATTTAGCTTAGGTCACTGTTAAGTAAAAAAAGTCAAATTTTGAAGTTAAAATTTTTCAACAAAAAGGGTGTCCATTGGATGCGGTTTGAGCTCAGGAACACGATGGTGCTAATTATAATGGTGTATGATGTCAAATACGCACTGAAAAATTGATTTGAAAAATTTATAATTGTGAATTTTTTGCAATAATGCGTATAACTTGGTCATTTTCGAAGATATTTAGCTAATAGCTACAACTTGCTACAGTAAGTCATAAGGATGTGTTCTATCACACATATTTCAGGCTTTTCGAAATCAAAAAGCTTTTTGAAAAAATATAAAAACATAAATTTTGAATTATATATAAAATTTTCAAAATTTTCAAAATTTTGAAAATCCAAGATAGCAGTTTGATAACACAGTCTATCCTGAGCCCTCTCATGCAAAGAAATTGGATCTAGCTCAAAAGCTGAGCTCTTGGGAGCGTTTGTCGTGGTTCAATGTTTAGCGTCGAAATCGGCCGAACGTGACGTTACTCTGACGTCATTTCCAGCCGACCTATGGTAGCTACGAAGTTCATATTTTGACACAAGTTTTCAAATTGATGCAGCCAAAGGTACTAAAAGTTTGGCGTCGATACGTCAAGCACTTTGGAAGGAGGGGGGCTATGAATAGCCCCCCCCCCCCCCAGTGGGGCGCGGGTAGAACCGTCCGGAGTCGGAGTCGGAGTCGATTTTTGAAGTCGGAGTCGGAGTCAGAGTTACCCTAAATTACATCGACTCCGCAGCCCTGGTGAAAACGGCCATTTTTTTGCTCTAGCCCAAGGCGAACTTAAAAAATGTCATGCTGGCGCATAACTAGGTAACGAATAGCTACAGCCCTGCTGAAAATCGCATTCGAAACACTGAGTAATGCCCTTTCATTTGACCTTTGGTCAATATTTTTCTTTCTTTTGGCGGGAGTTCTTTCTGAATTAATTTTTGACAACAAGCTTGTATCACCATGACTTTACCGGCGGCGGCATCGAGTTTCTTTCGTTCGTAGAGACTGTTCAGAAGAAACAATAAGTTGGACCTGGGAAAAATCAGCTTCAAATTTTGACCTAAGGCCAAGGTCACAGAAAAGTTCATGTCGCATATCAGTCGATTCGTATATTTTATCTAAGTTGTTGACAAAAAAAAACTGCTGGAGACACCTCATGCCCTGAGCCCCTGAGTGCCTGAGATAACCTCAGGGGCATAATAGGGGATCACGGTTGCAAGTTTCCGATTTAGTGGGCCATGCTTACCTTTGTCTCGATGTTTAAGAGTGTTAAGTACGACTTCCTCCGAAAGAAGAAGATTTCAATTTTCTCCAATTGGCTTATAATGGAGAAGCCGGAAAATTACCTGACATTATGCCATCGATATCAAAATTCCGAGATACACAAATTATTGGTGCCAACTTCGCTTATTGGTGCCACCATGCCATTCCCCCAATTTAGACTTTAGGAGATATACTACAGAAATTGCAGACTCAAGAAGTGTTAAAGAGGCATGGCCATCTAACCCGCGCCCGAATGGGCCTCTCAGCCAGCTTCGCCAGGGTGGGGGGGGGTCTTTTTGGCCACACCAGTCACCAGGTTATCTCGGAAAGTAAACAAGCTACAAAGACACGGTAAAAAGCAAGAGATAGTTCGCTACAAGATCTTTCAGAATCATACGAGTCGATTTTGATTAGGTGATCGCTGAGGTTACTAGAGGTCGCCAAATGTAAAATTTTCACGAATTCTTGTTCCCGATTTGAACACCTTTTCACAAACCGGCGCATAAATTGGGAGCCAATAGAGCTCCAGCGCTGCGGAAAAGCGCATTCGATAGCCTTTTCAAAAGACTTTCTGTGTGTTGCGCTCAGATTTGACCTGAGCCTTCAAAGCGCAAAAACTCAAAATTAAACGTTTGTGCGGAAAAGGTTTTTGTATAGCTTTTGACTCGGAGCTTGTATTACACTGATTTTACCGGCATCACGTTTGACTCGTCGAGACGCGTCAAATGAACAAAGAGGTCAACTTAAAAAATTTGACCTCAGGTCAAGGTCACGGAAAAGGTCATGTTGCATGTCATTCGATTTGCATTGTTGAGCTGAACACATTCATGGAATTTCAATTCAGCGCTCTAGCATATTTCTAACTCAAGTTATTGTCAGAAAACTGTTGTAGACATTTAATCACCTGAGACGACCTCATGGGTATAACCGGGGTCACAGGTGCAATTTTCCGGTTCAGTGGTGTCCCGATGTGTGGGGGTGTTTTCGGAAAAATGAGGAACGTCTCAATTATCCCCCACTGAATAGCGAGGTCACAAAATTGACCTGACCTTAGGTTACCGATGCGAAATTGGTGCATCATAAGCTAAACCAAGTTTCGCAGCGATGCACGCCGTGGTTTTCTAAACTCTTGCAAAAAACTAATCAGGTGTATTAAAAAACGCCCCCCCCCCCCACACACACCCGGGCGAAGGTTAACATAACCTGGTGACCTGACTTAATGTGACATAGGTCAAAAATTTCACACACTATGCGAAGTTGATGAATGGCCAAATCGCACCAAATGTGTGTGAGACCACCGTCGTAAAACCGGCTGAAGTAGAGCATCATAACAACACCGTATGACACCCTGGATCACCAACCACAACCCCAGTCAGCAAACCCAAGCTGTCAGTCCCACGCCGACCTGTCATCCCCAACCCGGCCCGACGAGCGGGTGGACGGCTGTACTCACCCAACCGGAGGCCCTTGGTCCACTGCTGCACGCAGCCGGGGCTGTGCACCTCGGCCAGAGTGCGCGGGTCGGCCACCGGCGCCGGCGCCAGGCGCGGCCGCACCCACACCACCGGCTCGGGAGTGCTCGGAGGCGTCAGCAGGCACGACGGCATCGTCGGCGGCGGCGTCAGCAGGCACGACGGCATCGATGACGGCGGCGTCAGCAGGCACGACGGCATCGTCGTTACCGCCATCGTCTGCCGCGGCGGTGGTGACGGCGGCGAGCAGGCACGGTCAGCGCTGGTCAGCATGACCGTTAACGGCGCCGTCTGCGGCGGCGGCGGCGGCGGCGGCGGCGGCAACAGCCCGCCGTACCGCTCCGCCGGCGGCTGGACGGCCTCCATGCGCGCCGGGAAGAACCCCGGCGCGCAGACGGGCGGCATGAAGTTGAAGTAGAGCGGGTCCAGCGGCGGCGGCAGCAGGCCGCCCACCTCCAACACGGGGAAGTCGCCGTAGAAGGTGCTCGGGGGGTAGCCGTATGAGAACGGTCCACCGGGAGTGGGACCCATCGGCATCGGCAGCATCGCCATCGTTCAGCACCTGCAAAACGAAATAAAAAACGAAAGATAACCAGCTGTTATTCAGAAACCGGTAGTTCGCAGATGATGAAAAGGGTTGATACTTGATTCCTAGCCAAACACTCAACAGGCAACAGAGCACCCCCCCCCCCCCCCCCACCACCGACGTTCTTTCACGAATGATTGACAACAGCTGACTGAGGCATCAGCTGACGGGACACCGGAAACGAAAAACAAAATGCATCCGGTAGTGATTTTGTATGGGCACGTGCAGGAAATCAATCAGCGTGCTTCCAATTCAGGAGCATCGGCGCGCGAGCTGTGTGCTAAGATCCGTTCTGCGCATGGGTGGAGCTTTTCCAGGGAAGTTGGTGGGGCAAAAAGTCGTCAAACCCACAATGTCCGATTATAAAGTTGAATAAAATGCCACACTGAATCAATTCCTATCATTACAGACAGACTTGTGCCAAGGTCCCAAAAAGATCCGAGATCCAGGGTTCGCAGAGTCCAAGGTCTGGGACCTTGATGGATCCTGGACCTTGCATTGTCATTTTTGTCGCGAGACCTTGGAAACCCAGGACCTTAAAACATCCATATGCCGCGAGACCTTGGAATCCCAGGACCTTAAAACATCCATATGCCGCGAGACCTTGGAATCCCAGGACCTCAACATTTGCATATGTCGCGAGACCTTGGAATCCCAGGACCTCAACATTTGCATATGCCGTGAGACCTTGGAATCCCAGGACATCAACATTTCATGTGACATGAGACCTTAGAAACCCAGGACCTCAACATTTCATATGCCGTAAAACCATGGAAACCCAGGGGTTAGGACCTCAAAATTTTGGTATGCTGCAAGACCCTGCAGAATGCAGACCTTCAGTACCAGTTTTATTATTTGTCATGGGATGTTAGGAGAACGGTCTGGACCTACACCACCATTTTGTTGAGGGACCTCAAGAATCCTGGAAGCTGGACCATGAGGTTTATGTTGCACATGGGCCACTAAGGACCCTGCACTAGGTTTTGTCTGTAAGCACTTCAATAAATATCTATGGTTGAGCGACCAGCTGCAAGGGGCTAGATAGCTACACGAAGAGAAAACAAACCAGACTGTGTAGACATATATAGAGCAAAATCATTGCCATGGTTGTGAGGCAGAACTGGAACAAGAGACCTGGTAGCTTTTTACATTATCAATGTTATGGATTATGAAACTGTCAAACAGTGGACACTGGACAGTGGTGGTTTCAGTTTGGAAAGTTCTTTTCTAATCTCACCTCACATATTTTCTGGGTTGTGATATGCCGGGCTTGAAGCTACTTGGAAGATACCCACTGACCAAGTAAAAGTGTCAAACTTATTTGTTTTGCAATTCATCAAATCACCATTGAGTAAATGAGCAATATAAGCAATCATTCCATGACAGTTCAACTTTTTCGTTTAGCAGGGCTGTTCACGGGCCCCTGTGTGCGGTCGGACCGCACACAGCCTCCAAGCTCCGCCCACTGCGTCCCTACGTCAGCCTTCCGTCACCGCACACAACGATCGCTGTGGCCGGTCGGGACTGGCCACAGCGGACCGTCCACCGCACGCAGCCGTGACGTCAGAGCCGCCTACCCATCCCCTACCCCCACGCCTGCTGGACGCACCGCACACACCGCACGCAGCAGTGTGCGGTGCCCGTGAACACCCCTCAGGTTTTCGTCGGACAATTTTTCGTCTGCAGATTTTCGTCCGCAGACTTTCGTCTATGCATTTGTTCGTCTGTGCATTATTTTCATAAGGACATTTTCCGCCTCGTCCAGACGAAAAAATGCCGGACAGAAAAATACTCAGACGAAAAATGCACCAAATTAATTCGAACAGACGAAAAAATGCAAGACGAAAAAGTCAGACGAAAATCTGCCGACGAATAACCCGGCTGACGAAAAAATTGTCAGATGGAATTTTGTTCAGAGCCTTCAATCTAATGTGAATGAACAGTAAGTAAGGTTTGCGCTCGCTGATACTCTAATTCTATTGGCTTAGTCGATCAGTTTTCTGTGAGCGCTCGCGCAAACAAGACTTGGAACATATTTTACTTTTTATCCTAGGTATTATGTAACTGAATTGGAATGTGCAGAAAATCGAAAGCATAGGTATACCTATCCAATTCAACTTTTCCTTTTCTATGAAGCCTGTAGGTTTTATTTCTGTTTTTTTTTATATTGCCTGAAAGAATACTTGAATGTCTGTCTTCAAGAACTGTAAGGTGCTATCCTACATTCCTACTGATAAGGTAAGATTGAATTGAAAGGGACATGACAATACAAATTGCAAGGTACCTATTACCTACCTATATTTTTTACGAATTTGTCCGGTTAAAGAAGGAGAGATTGATATTATGATTCATTTTTAACTTGTGTTGAAGCTCCCCCTACCTATGTTGGTTAACGATAAAACCACCACAGTCCACAGGTTTGCATAGGTTCTGCCCCTTTAAATGTTGCTGGGCATCCATTGGCAGAATATTTAGAAGTCTGCTCATCAGAATGTTAGTTTGTTTAAGTTCTTGTTGTGGGACCCTGAATACTTTGGATCCTGAGATGTATTCTTGCCGTGGGACCTTGAGGACTGTGGACCCTGAACTCTGAAGTGTGTACTTGTCATGGGACCTTGGGGACTGTGGATCCTGAAATTCACACTTGTCGTGGGACCCTAGGGACTGTGGATCCTGCAATGCATTCTTATCATGGGACCTTGGGGACTATTGATCCTGCAATGCATTCTTGTCGTGGGACCTTGGGGACTGTGGACCCTGCAAAGTATACTTGCTATGGGACCTTGGAAACCTTAGATTCTAGAAATTGAATTTGCCGTGGGACCTTGGAAACCTTGGATTCTAGAAATTGAATTTGCCGTGGGACCTTGGAAACCTTGGATTCTAGAAATTGAATTTGCCGTTGGACCTTGGAAACCTTGGATTCTAAAAATTGAATTTGCCGTGGGACCTTGAGGATCCTGGATCTTGATTTTTGGTCCCGGCACAAGTCTGATTACAGACATATTATTTTGCATGAAACAGGCATTCCAAAGCTATTCAATGTCATTTTAAGGCCGGTTATTATAAAACCAGCAAGTTTCAGCACGAACAGAGGTCACACCACAAGGGACGGGAGGGTCAAAGGTATTTGTCGGATGAACGGTTCCGCAAATTTACAACTTTATAGGGGTATTAGCGCACTTTGTGATCAGATATAACAGGGCTGCGGAGTCGGAGTCGGAGTTGGAGTCGGTCGGAGTCGACAGTTCGTCGGAGTCGGAGTTAACGCTGCATGGCTCAGCGTCATGCACTGCAGCTGTTTAAATGACGATACTGCGCTCGAAGTTAGACTGTGTGGGAAAAAAGGTCATTTTGCTGTTTTGGACGAACGTTTTCAGCGAAAAAAGCTGAAGACTGTGAATTCCCCAGAACCTACTTTTTAATTCTGCATATTATTTCTAATGCATATTTGCAACGAAAATCCTTGGAACGCGCAAGAGACCGTATCAGGCAAGATAAAAAACATCCATTATGATTATGAACTTCAATATCACATGTATTTTAATAGAACCGTCCGGAGTCGGAGTCAGAGTTGGAGTCGGGAGTCGGAGTCGATTTTTGAAGCCAGAGTCTAAGTCGGAGTCGGAGTCACCCTAAAATCCATCGACTCCGCAGCCCTAAGAAATAGCAGTTATGGTATCCAAGTGACACAAGTACAATATCAATATATGCTTGGCTAGTACGAAAATGGCATTTTGATGCCTTAATTTCATCGTCCATGCCAAAATACACATCAGCTAATAAGACAAGAGAAATCAATTATCCTTGGTTGAGCCTTGGATGACCACAGTTGCAAAACATGCTTCCCGGGCCCCGCGTGCAGGGACCGGCAAACGCGGCCTCCAGGCGCTATACCCGAACGACAAGGAACTTACCAGCAATTGACCCAACGTAGTTCACCAACCGCACAGGTCACCCTCCGTTGAAACACTAACGAATAGCTAAGACCAACCGACGCTCAACAACACGTCAACGATACTAACGCATTTCACACGGGAATCTGTCACCCTAGCGGTAGCCATCCGCACGAGACGCCCGGGGCGCTGGCCCACGAGCCGTCTCGGGCGCAGCGCCAGCCAATCAGCGACCGGTGGGCGGAGCTTAGCCGCACGGTCGGACACCTGAGCCCGGCTGGTCCCGTCACCTTGCGCCCTCGGTGGTGAGATAGGAAAGCACCTAGTTTCAAAACAAATTCATGTTTGGGATTGCATTGGTTGTCATATTGATTGTTAGGGGTTACCGAGAAAGGCAGCATTACAGGAAGTGTTTTGCGTTGTTCCGGTAGTCCAAGCGCTTCAACAAATATCAATATGGAATGGAAGTCCAATTGGAAGGTTAGTCCGCAGGGCTTACTGATAAGCGCAAGGGGTAGTGGGTAGTAGATGCCTGTTGCAGCGCTTCTGCAGCGTTATGAGATGTCGGGACTGGGGAGGAGGGACTGAATCCCACATGAGTTTGCCAGGGCTGTGCCTTGTGATCGAACGAAACAAATTAGTTGGTGGTCACTTGTCGCAGCAGCAGAGCACGACACGGGATCATACTTTTTCAATTGGTGCCAGATGTCAAATATCAACATTGGGTGAATGGCGCTGTATGGAGTCTGAAGATGAGCTAATTGTGCGTTCCTCCCCTCCTAGCTGGTCCCGTTCCCTAGGAGAGTCTTCAGAATGGAGTCGGCATAC